CGCAGGCCTACAAGAATGATACGGATCCAGATGTCTCAGGGACACACTTGCGCACGGAGACTCAGGGGTGTACAAGCCCAACTAAGACTACGAACGCTGTTTTAGCACATGGGTTTGTCTGAAAATAGGGTATATTCCCAATTATAGCCATTTAATAGGGATAATGATCATTAACCATTGGGTGTAGGGGATTTTCAGACAAACCCGCATATGGCACGAGTTCGGCAACACTGCTTGAAAGCCGAGGACTTCCACCCCATGTTAAGCTGATTTTCTACATAAGACCCCCTCCGGGGGAGGGCATGAACACCTCATCGTCTCCTGACGGTGACTGCCATGTCCTTAAAGACAATCGGGTGTACCTTGTACCAGCCCAAATTGGGTATGTTGGGCAATTACAGATTGGAAGTTACTGCAACTGGAGTTGGAAGTTCCAATTAGTTAGAATATATATAATTAATTATATATATACACTGTAGATTATACTGTATTATATACCATTCATCAAACTACCATAGCCATGGACAATCAAATTTTGGATAGGTAAATCGTCTATAAATGGGCCATGGCTTCCAGTTTGCAAACCGCACAACTGACGTTTTTAAATGCTGTGGCTTGGACCCCAGAACTGACGTGATTTCTCAAAGATCAAGGGAAAATAATCATTGCCCAAGTTCTCTGCTGCCCAACAGATGTTGAAGTTTATGCAATGTTCAACTGTTCAGTGACAACCTAATGCTATCAAGCTTAGTTTTGCTCAAGTTTAAAGCTTCCGTTTAGTTATCCAACTAACAACAACAAGCTCACTGGATGCTACCGCGTTCTACCAGCGCCTCAAATGAATGGGGTGAGATTTATCTGAAAATTCCAAATCCACTGCTATTATTATTTTTTTTAAAACATTATTTAACGGTCATTGATTTGGGGATAGGGGCCCCATTTGCAGGTACCACAGCCTGTATCCCACATCAAATATCCATTTTTTTATGTTTAAAGTGTCCATAGTTGATGGCTTAAATTACCACATTCCGAGGCTTTACGTCTCGATAAACACCGCGGGTTTTCTCGGTGTTTGGGTTCCTGTTTTTTCAGGACAAGCCTCCACCCTGGGACTGGTTGCCTTCTTCGGTCTGTATGGCAGCTTGGAAGCATCGTCTTTCGAGGAGCATGGGAATCCGCCACAAAAAATCATGGGCTTCACAAGTTTTTTGTGACACCAAGATTCACCACAGAATGCCGCTTTTCCTCATTTTTTTTGAAGATTTCACCAGCCATTTTGTGACTATTCAACACACAAAGATTGCAATTTTTTTAGGCAGCAACAAGCAATCATAGACATAGAGTTTGTGGGAGTCATGAGACTTTTGAAAGCCTCCAACCTTGGGAAACAATTTTTCCACCAAACACTATGGTTGCCTTGAACAAAAACGTACAAATCAAAACCAATGCATAATTTGGGAGGATTTGAGAATATTTGCGAATATGTGGTTCCATTTCCAACAGGTGAACGCACAAATTTAAGGTCACATTTGTTTAAAACAAAACCCATATTTTCTGGGAAACAGTTAACCCATACCCATATTAGGAACTGTTTAAACATGTAATATCCCCAAATTTAGAGGCAAATCATCATATACCATCATATACCTACACAATTTAAGGTGGAAATCACACATGCCAACATTGATAATTGATAAAATCATAGGATCCCAATTTTTGCAGGTGAATTGAGGGCTGCTGTAGACCAGATATTCCCCATGAAATGGCAACAGTAAATGTGGTGCCCTGCGACGCTGAGGCCTGGTGTACCTGAGTCGCCTCAACAACGTCATCAACGACTACGAGGAACGCGTCACTTGGCCGCGGAAGAGTTCGGAAGGGTCCAGAGGTCGGAGGACGGGAATTGGAGGATGAAAGGTAGGGGAAATTCATGGCTTCAGCATTTCACTATATCTGGTTGGTGGTTTGGAACATTTTTTTTCCATAATATATCGCATAATCCTTCCCATTGACTAATATTTTTCAAGATGGTTAAAACCACCAACCAGATATATAATTTATGATATATATATATATCACTGATTTAATCAACCAAAACCCGGAGAAAAACACATGTTCATCCAATACTTGAATGTACATCCCAGTCGATATATGTACGTTCATGTTTGGTCACTCGTTCATTTGTAAATAGAATAGATCCGAGCTATGTGAGTTTATATGTGCATGTGTATATAATTAATGATAGTGTATGACTACTTACAAACTGACATGCACATCCACGGAGATTATGGATTGGAGCCAAATACTGTTTCAGCATTTGTGGGTGTGGTGAAATTCAAGAGCTGCAAGCTGGAAGACGTCTGTGTACCTCCAGATGTCAAGCCATTTTTGGTCCCGTTTCGGGTTGCCACACTGCCGAGGTCTGGTACTTGTGCATGAACATTACCACCAAACTCATTATGTTGATGCTCTTCGGTGGTATTCGTTCAAGTGTCTTGCCAAGAAATAAAGGTGAAGTGACATGTCGAGGTATTTTCACATTTTTTTCATGGGGTATAGTGACCAACCATTGGGAGTGGTCATATTTCGCAAGTGTCAACAATAAGTGACCAATAATTGGAGGTACACTCTGGTTATTTAACATAGCCATGGAAAATGGCCCATAGAAATAGATGGTTTACCTATTAAAAATGGGTGGATTTTCCATGGCTATGTTAAATAGCCAGATGGTATTCTCACTATTTGCGGTAATTTCAAGCAGAAGTGGCTCAATATTCTTTTTTTTCCCTGGCGTGACCTCCCTGCAGGGAGAATGATTTCGGCCAATTTGACTGGCCTGGTGTAGCGGCACACATGACACATGTAGCAACACCAAACACGTATATAGAAGCATATGGAGGCCTCGAAAGTATATGAAATTATGAGATCAGTATCATCTAATGTCAGCTCTGGATTAATAAACCCCAAACGGCTGTTCAATCGGGGGGTACCGTTTCAGTAGCCATTTATCTCTATTTGGGGGAACCACCACAATTAATCAACCAGGGTTGAGAAAAATCCGGGGTTGACATTACAACATCCTCAAAAGCCGTTTGTACCTGTATTATCTATTAGTATCTCGTATCTGGGGGTTCCTGTTTTCCTGCTAAAGGTGAGCAGTCGCTCGACCTGTCTGTGACCTCACTGGAATCATGGTTAGACATACTGCAATACCATGCAATACCCATCCTGGAGCGAGGAAACAGCCACAATCCTCTCCTAGACAAATGTGGCTGGCTGATGCTGGCTGGAATACGATATTCCCATTTTCCAAGGCATTCCAAGGTCACTAAATCCCATGTATTCCCATGAAATTTCCCATGACAATCACATTTTTGAAGAGGGGTTTATGTCATCATGTCAATGGGAGATCTCCAGGATCCTAAAATGGAGGTACGTTAGTACCATATAAGGCCATATTATATCCCCTTACATAGGCCTTATATGTATATATATGTATATATATATGTATATATATATATATGTATATATATATATGTACATATATATATATGTATATATATGTACATATATATATATATGTTATATCTCGTAGGTACCTCCAATTTGGGTTCCTGGAATGGCCATTGATCATGTTTGTCATCTATTTTCTATTGGCCATGGCTTCCAGTTCGCTATGTTTTTTATAGCCTGATTTTTGGGCAACTTCTGCCAGGCCGTTATCACGACCTCATCGTGAACATGTTGGTGACTGACCTGTTGGACCACACGGGAACATTGGCCACCACCTGCCTATGAAAATAAAGGGAAACCATGGGCACATGATGATTTACCCTCTGGTAAACTAACATAGCTATGGAAAATCACCATCTTTAATGGGTAAATCCACTATAAATCACCATTTTCAATAGCTATGTTAGTTTACCAGAGGGTATCAGATTTTCGGGGTTTTCCATAGTTTCTCAGTTTCGGACAAACCTGTGTGGTGAAGTGTTTGATGAAGCTGCTGATATAGAACTGATGGGCGTGGTTGCTGATATTCATAATAATTACATATATACTGTGTATATATATATACACGAATACGTGTACATATATATATATATACATGTATATACATATTCTGTATATAACTCTGTGAACAATAATATGCACGTGTATGTGAATTTCCATCAGATTACACTTAAACATGAACATGATGTTGTAGTTACAGGACTGTCCCACAATCGATGCCACTGTAAAACGTATCTCCATTGTTGAGTTGTGCATTCTCAAAGACTTCAAGGGGTTCCTTGGTCCAGGAGCCTTTTTTAAGGGGCAGATTAAAGATGATTGTAGATTGGTTCAAAAAACATATTCGGGCACCTGGGATATTCCTTGATGATGATGATGATGATGATGATGATGATATGACTCAATTTGACTACTGAGTGTCCTCGAAAAGATGGAAGAATAACTTCCTGCTGATCCGGGATATCCGGCAGTGTTTCATCTATCTGAATTTTGTGACCCCAGTATCAATCATGATATAACAACGGAGCATTATATTGAGTTCCACCTTACATTCTCAGACCTGAGATTCTTGGATGATACTAAAGTTCGTAGTGACGATCAGGAACCGGAGAGAAATGGCAATTCTTGGTTGACGACAATGAAGTGTATGATGGGTGATAAGAAGTGCACTTATCAAAGCAGATCAAAGAACCCCTACTTGCCCTTGTGGTAGGTCACCACTATTTACATCCATTCATCTGCATGAATCATAATGACCTCACTGTGACGTCATTGGAATGATACTTAGGATTCGAGGAATCATCCCCAAATGGCCGTATGATAACAGATATTTTCAGGTTATTGAATTACCATAATTCAGCCAGAATATATCCCATCATCCATGAACCCCCATTGAATCCCATTCAAGCCCACTATTCCATAGATCATTCAGCCAGCTTTTTGAGCCAGATTCAGCCAAGTGTGCCAAATCACATCACCTAAATCCCAAAGAGTTCACCCCACAGATCTTTGGTCGATTTTTAGTATTAGATGTATTAACCATCTAAGCATTGGGGTGCCCAATTTGACCAATTTGGACTCATACCCATACTTTTACTTACGTATTATGTGAGTATCATGTCAGGTTTTACTTATAATTTAAAGTTAGGTGGTTCATACCCTCCGAAAATCAAGCATGGCTTGCTGTAAAATATCAGCATATTTATAGATGACTTTCCAAGCTAGCAACCTCCATGGCTAGTTCGGGGATTTCCCATTTCTATATTCGGAGGGTAATTATAGTGTGAAATTATAGTTTTACACTAGTTATACATCCATGATTTCCCACGTCATATCCCCATGACCGCGATGAAATTCTTCGGATCTGGCAGCGTTCCCGATCTCAGGTGAACACGCACTTCTCCTTCCGACGCCAAGTGGCGGTGATGGATCCGGAGCATGCAGGCGGGGTCGTCCCTGTTTTTGTTTGGGTGGATGGTTGAGGTGGATTGTTTCCTCCCAAAAAAACAGATCTGGATTCTATGAATTGTTGAGAGATTTTTGTACTTTTGCTAAGAGATACAGGTTGTACATTCCGAAGATTTTGGCTTTGCGTGGTGTGCATTTGCATGCAGTTTTCAACATCATTCGCCTGCCAAAGTCGCTGGTGGTTGCGTTGGAGAAGAGTACATTTGTCTATGCCTCGAGTTTGCGTTTCGCTCGAAATGCATGCAAGGGCATCGACATGATTCCAGCTGTATTTTGATGTGTTGGGGATGAGACTATCGGGGATTCCCCATGAGTTTGACGACCTCAGAGCCCCAAGGGCAGGTAGACACTTGATAGAGTTTGATGTGACACAAATCAGTCATTCCTTGGCGATTGACGATTTCATTGCGCAAATCTTGACAGGTCAGGTGGAGATGGATTATACATGTAAATATGTATATACTAATTTAATATGTATACATTATAATATATATATAATATATATAATATTATATATATATATATACTATATGCATTATATATATATATATTATGTATTATATATATATATAATTTTGACTGAACAAAGCACATTTTTGGCTTTGGAGGGGTTGCAACATGTTGCAATCACCAAAACCACGTGTCGAATCTCTCTTCAAATCGTCAACTTTCTGCCTTTTTTGCTTGCGCCAGCGGAGGCAATGGAGATGAGGTGGGGCGTTTCATTTCTTGGGGTGATGGGTGGCTGTCAACCTCGCCGTGTGAGCTTGTCGAAAAAAATTGGACAGACACCAAGCGGGCTTGACATGTTGTGACCACTAGTGGTGAAAATGATAACTTACACATATTTGATGTGGTTTCTACATAACTTGGTTTATTGACCCATCTAACTATAGTTACAATCACCATTGGATTTTGGGGTTTGAAATTTTGAATCATACCCAACCCTCGTTAGCCATCTAGGCTTGGCTACACCACGATTGAGCTGGGGATAGAGCAGCAAAGATTGGAGAAATCCACCGGGGAAAGATCAAGTGAAGCACCTCAAGGATTGGTGGGGTTCCACATCAGAAGATCTGTTGTGCATTCCTCTGATTTATATTTAACGCATGTTCACTAGGATCACTATGGTATATTCATGTATGTTCCCAAGCCGACCCTTGAAATTCCTTGGCATCAAATTTCTCGGGGGGGCCACCATCAACTATCGAAGTTTGCTCAACCACCTGGCAGTTGGGTGGCGCTCCATTTTCATAGATTACTTCTGGATACTTCTGGGGCATCGTTGACTGCTATCCCCCTGAGATGGAACCTGAACATCAACCATCTCTATGGGATTTTAAGGGGAACTCGTCTTACAATCACTCAAAGAGCAGCGTCTTGGCTGATCAGGGTCAACCACCAGGGTTGAAATCACCAGAACAAAAAGTACCCCAGTGCCCCTCAGGACTTGTACAAACAGTTGATCGAATCCTGATCGAAATCTGAGAGCCCTGGAGCAGGTGATGTAGACATCGGCTGGTTTAGCAACTTGAAAACTAGGAATCTGACCCGGAAAAGGCTTAAGATGGCTTACGTGAGTGATTATTGGATGTTAGGTCACCATTCAGAAGTGATCCAAATTGTAGAATCCATTGATATCAGTCACCCTTTTTTGATCCAAACCAATATAGCCCGTAGCTTTCGGCGGCTCCAATGAGTAGATATTTGATCCAAACCTCATTTTGGTTTACCTAATTGTACGGATGATTTGTATTTTCACTACATAAACACATCTAAACAGTCGAATACAATTATATCTTAACCAAATACGGAATGAAGCCTACATATAGAGACTATCAGGATTCATTAGGGTTGTTAGACATTGTTGGGGGATCTAACCACAACACTTGTTACCCATGACCCAGACTCAGAATCAGTCGGTCATTTTGGATCAATCGCTTGATGAATCTCCCGGGTTTCACAATGCAACGAGTCTCAGGGTAAGTCTTTGGCAATTTTCCTTTCCTTTCAACAATCTAAACACCTGTTCCCCAAGCAACCCATGGAACCCATATGGAACCAGCCGACTGGTCACCTCAGCAGCCGTGATCGCTGGGATGTGGCCGCGAAAAGCGGATGGCACCTCAGCATCAGCGGCGCCGTGATCGCTGGGATGTGGCCGCGAAAAGTGGATTTCGGGTTGGAGACATGTTCGAAAAACAGAGGGGCGAAAAACGTGGGCTTTCTTTCGATGTTTTAAACTCTCTGTTAAAAAATATGTGTTTTCTATTTGTTTGCTTTTCTTTTCTTGCTGTGTATGTACTTCACTCAATATTCTGGAGGATCAAGCAAATCAACCAAGATATCAAAGATTCTCAGGGAATTTTTGACTGCCTTGAGTCCTCATGATTGTTCTTGACAACCAATATATAATATACTGTATCTGTATCTGTATCTATATCAGATTTGACCAACTTGGATTATCATAGAATAGCTCCCGTTGGCAAATACATGCATATACCATGTTCAATAGATGTGTAAATCAATGTAAATCATGAAACATGTTTGGAGGTTCATCCCGCTTAGGATTCGTAGGTTGATTCACGCTGTTGGAACCCCACTTGCAAGTAGATGAACGCTTTTTATCCCACTAACAAAGCCAGGGACGTGTTACCTACTTCTGATCTGTGGGAAGATCCGCTAAGTATCTCCAAAGCCTTTCAGTTTTATCCTTCCGTCGTCGAGTTTTCGCACACTTCCGACCCGGTGAAGAAATTGAAGGTGTTGCACCCGGCATCACGTGGTGTTGCTTGACAGGTGATGTGTCAGATGCTGTTTGAGAAGCAAGAAACAAGCGGCTTCTGTGTGAGACCAGTATCACCTTGGGTGTTCTGTGCTATGGCATAGCGATGGCCTATGCCATAGCCAGCATCGGGATGGAACCACTGAAAGCAATTGGAGCATTTACATTTTTGGTATTTTTTGGTAGCCACATATGCAGCATATATGACATATATGATCATACATGCATATTTTCATATATATATATACATTTCCCTGGTATAAAATGTTGTGAATCTATGAATACCTTTTTGTGCTTTCTTATATTTTCTTATCCCTTTTTGATCAGCTTGGAACCATATGATTTTTCACAAGGGTCCAATCAAACCGAAAATGGCAAAGGGGCATTGGCATATTGGGAACTGAGCCGCAAAGTCATTGTTATTTTTTGGGGTCAAAGTCTTTTGAGAATCATCTTCTATATCTTATTGCTCTAATTCTTATCAACCTTATTGTCCTTCAACTGAAACGGCTGTTTCTAAAAATCTACAGGTAACTTTTCGCATTCTGCACAGCTCCTCTCAACATTTGATGTTTTTTTTGGGTGGCACCTGTCATATCCTGTCAGCACTCCATGGTCCGAGAGCTGCGCCAAGCGAAGCGCTGGACAGCAGGCGAAAAAAGTGCCTTTGCTCCGTCCAGAGCTTGCCATCTTGCCGCCCTGGGCCCTAGATCTCCACGATCATGATGCAAATTCAAGTAGATTAAGTAGATGACAAATATGACATATGTATAAATATGATGATGAAATATGATGAAATATGTATTCCTATGCCTATTTTTTCACATGCTGTCTTTTTTCATGGGATTTTTGGTCAGCCGTTGTATCCAAGTTATGTCCGACTGCCGCGAGTTGATCTGCGCAAAAAACGCGTCGCATCCTTGACGCGGTGAAGTCCGTGCGAACGAGTGGGGCCGCTCTGTCAACAAGGCTGAAGAGCTAATATATATATATATAATGTAGATATATCAATGATATTTTGTCAATAACATTCTACTTATGTCATTTTCTCTTGGATGAATAAAAAAGAGACCTCCCTGCGACAATATTGTCCGGGTAGACGATGGTAAAAAAAGGGTGACTATCCCAAAATGACCTGGCAAGTCAGGTTGGTGATTTACTGTTTAATCCAGATCTCTCTGACATTGAGAGCCAATATTTCAAGTGATGTTCAACCCATTTCAATATTGGTTTGGTTGAAGATAGTGTACCCTTTGTGTTCAACTTGTAGACACCGGTTTTCTCTACTGAAATGGCCAGAAGTAGGGGGTATTTACCGATATATTGTAGCCCCAATTTTCAGACACACCCATATGGAAGATGATCAAAGACGGGTCAAGATTCGGACTGCCAACCTATTTTTAAGCAGCACCTGGCGCAGCAATTTTTCCATGTGGTTTATGTTTTTCAAATGTCGACGATCATGCTGATGATCGTAGCTGTATGTAATATTATATATAGACAATATTGTATAATACATACACATTATCATATACACATACAATACATATAAAAAGGGCTGACGCCCGGGAGCCGCCAACCCCCCGGGTGCATCAATTGGCAGTACGATGAAACAAGATGAAGATATAGGAGGAAACAAGACTTCTGACGCAAAACTTGCAAGGCAAAGAAATCGAAGCACGGGAGTACAAAGTATGCAGAGCCGAGCGCAAATCCAAAGCGTGCGTGGCAACAGGACGAGCGGACCCCCGGTGGAGCCTGTTCGCGGAAGCCAAAGTGATTTTTGCGACCAACGCCGTGAAGTACCATGTCAATAAATTGGGCCCAAGCAAACAACAAAAAGCTTTATTTTGCCATTGCCAAAGACACGATTGGAAGTCATGCCGCTGTTGCTGGACATTTGGCCAAGCTGGCGTGGACAGGCCGCAGGAAGACAAAGAAAGGCTACCGCCCTTCGCCACAGCCGCGGCCAAACTGGCCCCGGAAGGCCGTAGGCAGAAAGGCTACCAACCTTCGTGACAGTCATGGCTTGACAGCTGAACAGCAAGAAAAGAAGAGAGACCACGAAGAGAGGCTAGGCATGACAGCTGAACAGCAAGAAAAGAAAAAAGCTGTGGCTGGACATTTTGGCCAAACCAGCGCGGGCAGGCCGCAGGAAGAAAGCTACCGCCCTCACCACAGCCGCGGCGTGACAACTGAACAGCAGGGACAGTTTGGCCATTTCGGCCTGGGAAGGCCGCAGGCAGAAAGGCTACCATCCTTCGCCACAGCCGCGGCGTGACAGCTGAACAGCAAGAAAGGAAGAGAGACCACCAAGAAAATTACCACCCTTCGCCACAGCCGCGGCGTGACAGCTGAACAACAAGAAAGGAAGAGAGACCACCGTCTGGACATTTTGGCCAAACCGGCCCGGATAGGCGGCAGGAAGGGCACCGCGACAGCTCATACGGAGCAATAAAGCAAGCACAGCTTTGTGACCTGGGCGCCCCCGCTAATGCCAAAGCCGGGGTCGGCGGATATACAGATAGATAGATAGATAGATTAGATTAGATTCGATTCGATTAGATTAGATTAGATTAGATTAGATCGATAGATCGATAGATCGATAGATCGATAGATCGATAGATCGATAGATCGATAGATCGATAGATCGATAGATCGATCGATAGATAGATAGATAGATAGATAGAGACAGAGAGATAGATAGATAGACAGATAGACAGACAGGTAGACAGGTAGACAAATAGACAGATAGAAAGATAGACAGATGAGCGAAGGAGAAGAAATAGATAGATAGATAGATGGATGGATAGATAGATAGACAGATAAATAGATAGGTAGATAGATAGATGGGTAGATGGATAGATAGATGGATAGATGGATAGATGGATAGATGGATAGATGGATGGATGGATGGATAGATAGATAGATAGATAGAATAGATAAGATAAGGTAAGATTAGATTAGATTAGATAAGATAAGATTAGATTAGATAGATAGATATGATAAGATAAGATAAGATCAGATTAGATAGTTAGATAGGTAGGTAGATAGATAGATAGTTAGATAGATAGAAAGAGATATAGATATATCTTTTAAATATAGATATTATAGTAATGGAGGAACAGTAATAACACATTTTACGGTTGAAAGTAGAACCCCCTGAACCCCTTTGTTTCAGGACAAGAAACACTGGTTTTGTTTATATAGGTTTGAGACCACAATCAATGACCGTGTTCTCTTCATTGTACAATGAAGGGAACACTATCTTGGTACCAAAGTCGATGAGACCCAGTGCCTGATGAACGAAGGCAGGAGCATGTCTCAACTATGACGGCCGAATCACAGTCCGCTGGACCGCGCGAAGATTTTTAAGTAGAGCTCCACATGCTCCATGAAACCTATTGTGTAACACCTTAGGAAACGGCGTTGCGTTGGGCTTCATTTGGGATCCCTCAACTTTTGGATGTTATTCAATGTAACCCAATGGAATCTTCCCTTTCACTGACACCCCCTACTCATCATTTTCTTCATCATTTTCTTCATCCTTTTCTTCACCATCTTCTTCGTTATGTTCTTCGTCGTCTTCTTTATCGTTTTCTTCATCATTTTCTTCATTTTATTTATTGTTTTGTTCATCATCATCATCATCATCATCATCATCATCAGTTGCAGCAACATCAGTAGCATTATCATTAACAACATCACCATCGCCATCAATTTCATATGTGATTACTTTAGTATGGCGTCAAATTTGTGTGCCACACGCACCCCACAAAATGGATGATTGCCCACCAAGAGTGACCCCACATTTGTTGGTCCAGTCCAGGTGTCGAAAATCCCAACGATGCTGTCTACCCCTGAATTCATGGAAAATGATCATTTTTTTTCAGGTAAAGTGGGTCGCACTTCGCTCTCAGAGATTTTACTGATTTTGGTCACTTGGGTGCTTTTTAAGTCCCAAAAACCATGGTTTGACTAATGAAACAACGCAGACACTGACAATGATTGGGGTCCCCCATTTTCAGAAACAGCAAGTGTTGTAACAGGCATGGGGCAACACATGCCGAGGGATACCGCCGTGAAGCCAGATTCAGTCAACACCTCTCAGCATCGCCCTGTTTTTGCCTTACCAGGTTGTCAGGGTCAAACAATCCCTGGAACACCTGACATACCAGGGATTTGAAGGGATGGTTTAGTACCCATTCGTCAACTCACCAGAGAAATCTACTGCGAATATTCAGTCCAAACGGGCAGTCTAGGAAGAAGGATTTGACCAGCCAAAATAGGAGATGCATCACTGATACAATTGAGTGATTGTTTCAAAGGTTTTGCCCCTTTTGGATGATAATCCCTAAGACAACATTTGGTCATAGATGTTTTTGTTTGGCGTTGACACGACCCAGCTATGGTTGGCGACTTCATCCCGTTGATTCCAGAGCTGAAGTCTTTGAGTGAAGCCAGAGCAGATGACAATGGTAGATTCATGGAGGCTTTTTTATTGAGGTGGGTCAAAAGCTAAAACAAATTAAAGATGTTTTTTTGGGAATAAAAAACCATTCACCAGCTATGACTTAGGGTGATGTTGATCAAGAAGGCATATGTGAATGATGTGCTAACAAATGGAGGTGAATGGGTTGACGTTTTGCTATATATATATATATGGATGAATATGAGATACTGTACACAAAATTAATATAGATGGTCAATCCTCCATTTATAAATAATTTCCTGGGAAACCATGGAGTTGTCATATATCTATGTTAGTTTAGCCCAGTCTAATTTCCCCCTTCAGAAAACGAAGTTTTCATTTTGCAGCTAGTAATACCACGAGATCAACAAACCAATCGAATTGTTTCATCTGAGAAAACAAACATCAGGAATTGGACGTTCCACTGTGTTGAAAAATATTCTTCAGTGTTGAACCGCAGCTCGGAGAAAAACAAACAAACACAACACAGCCAGCAAGCTTTTATGTAATTATATTGTATGATGTACCCTCTGGTTATGTCAAAATAGCTATTGAAAATGGCCATTGAAATAGTGGATTTACCCATTAATAATGGTGATTTTCTATAGCTACGTTAGTTTACCAGAGGGTATCTTAGCCCCCCAACTTGGGATATAAACCATATAGCTGGTAAATGGATGTTCATCCCCCTAAAAATGGTATTAATAGGTATTGATCCATAGCCATATTGTATGATGTAGTTGCACAGTTTCTTGCACATCGGAAAGATATGTAGTGTTGATTTTCTGCCGCTGGCTTTCACTAAGTGGACACCGCCCAACCCTCGGTGATTTAAAGCTGCACCAGGGGCAAGACTTTTTAAAATGTCCACCGTCGCTGTGGAGGGATGTTAGCCACTGAAAAAAAACATGAAATGATTGCCTATAGATTCTGTTTTTTGTTGTTTTTTTTGGCAAGATGAACGAATCCTCATGGTTGTTTCAGTTACCCACTGATGGTGATTGATGTTGTCTGATCGCTATTGTTGGTTCATTTTCTGTGATATGTGCAAAATATATTTGTTGCTTATACCCTGGGATGTTCCATAGATTCCTATTTTACTACAAGGATCTACTGCTGGTCTGTGTAATGATAGTTGGTCATTTATTTTTTATTCATCCATCCATCCATCCATCCATCCATCCGTTCATTTATTTATTCATTCATTTATTCATTTATGGGATATATGCATATACTTATATCTAATTATATATATAAGCTTGGTTATCCAGCAGATATCTAATCTTACCTTAGACATCCTTGGTTGCAGACAGTCCGTGAATCATTGTGGCCAGCTGACCCTCACCGTGACAGTGAACCATAAAAATCATAAGACAATTCTTTTATCGATGGCGCCGGGCAACACACCGCCAGGTCACGACAGTTCTACGAATTGCACGCGTTTAGGGTATAAAAAAGCACCGAAAGTGGAGAATTCACAATCAAATAGCAGCAAATGTGGATGTAACCCATGATTTTTGGGCTGCTTCAAGATATTTCGACTCTTTGCATTTGTCCAGATGTTACAGTGTCACCAACAATACCATAAATGGGTGATGAAAAGCGTGTCCAAATGGTAACCTTGCTTCTTTACCTTGTTTATGGCATTGGGTTTGACGGTTTGACGTGTAGATGGGTGCCTCAAGCGTCGATGGCAGAAGCAGATACGTGTCTTGGTCATCATCATGAGCAATCCCATCCCTAAAGAAACTTATTCACACCACCATAAAGTGTAAATCCTACAAAAAAAGATGGTTTCTGGGGGTTGTTAAATGTTTGCTATTGGGGTTACAAGTCTCAAAAGCTGGCCATATTTCTTATTCGAAATGTTTGTTTAAGAAAATGTTCAGACTCTTAAAATAAGCAGGTTTCTTATGGTTTCTTAATATAAATCTTAGCCGTACCCTTTTTGTTTGCCCGCATCCACATGCCATCCCATCAAACCTACCCTCTTATAATCAAACATGCTATGAAACACCTTCACTATTGTCGGGGCAGTTTCCATATGTTTCCATTGTCAGATAAGATTACGATGGCAAATCCTTTTTTTTCAGGTCAAATCACCATTTTTGCTGCTTAGATCATTGCATCATATTACATCATATTACATCCGCTTTGTTCGTTTATTTTCACTGGTTAGATCATGTTAGATCCAACTTTCCAATGTTTCTATCCGTTTGAAAGATATACTTCTGGGGCCGTGCTTATCATTTTCCGTGAGCCCGATGTGTACAGCTGTCCGAGTCGCCAACATCCGACATCACAACGGACGTCGATTGGCAGGAAGAAATTACAGTATGACCAATAAATGAGTAGGGTTGGTTGTTTAACCAGCATCAAAATATTGGTTTTTATAATATTCCAAATATAGTTGATAAATAGATATGATATACCCTAGATGGGGTATATCAGAAATGGGCAGGGCATTAGCCTGCTGTAAATTATAGAGCAGATTTGGAGAAGCCTTGGACGGGCACTTTAGTCCTTTATTTTTCTAAAATCAGCTAAAGATGTAGGTACTTTGGTACTTTGTTTTAAATATATACGGGAAAATATACTGCTAAAATCAATGCGGGATATCCAAGATCGGGAATGGAAGTGGGCATGGGTATTAAACTTTCAAATCCCACATGTTTGTGGGGATAAACATCAAACTATACAAGTTTTGTGACGAATCACACTTCTGAATGGATTTGACCAACAGACATGGGGAAACCAGCGACAATCAATGTTGATACCGTTGTAAACCCAACAACGAATCATACTTATTAAATCATCTTAAATCATCTGAAATCATCTTGATTTGGCCATTTAGGGTGATTTTTTTCACCTTCACTTCGTGAATGGGGGACAGGCCAAAACCTTTGAGAATCAGGGATTGCAAGTCATGGGATCGACAAATGATGGCTTGATGACTGTACCCCTATCATAATCAATTTTATCACTTCCGGATAGGTCAACACCAATCAATATATTATATGTATAATATCATACCATATGGAGGTTATATCATACCATATGGACCAGGTTTCCAACAAGTTGGGGCTATCCCCAAATCATACATTTTAGCAATTTTTGTAGGATTTTCCATGAAATAGACCATCCAGCTACTGGGGTACCCCCATTTACAGAAACCTCCATATGTTGAGGAATGAACATCCATTTACGAGTTAATTGATGTTCACCAGAATGCCAGGGTGACGTGGCGTCAAATTCGGATACCAGTTGGCGTAAGTCGGAAAAGAAACACTGAACATTGACCAGTTGGGGAGTTTAGAAACCTGAAATATTTGGAGACTTTTTTTTTCGAAAAATTTTGGGGAGTTTATTGGAGAATATGTCTTTTCGAGAAAAGTTGAGGAGTTGATAAACCTGAAATATTTGGAGAATATTTATCTTTCGGAAAAAGTTGGGGAGTTTATACACCTGAAGCATTTGGAGAATATTTTTTCTTCGAAAAAAGTTGGGGAATTTATAAACCTCAAATATTTGGAGAATATGTTTTTCCCGAAAAAGTTGGGGAGTTTAAAGAACTGAAATCTTTGGAGTAGGTGATTGGCAATCCACGGAAGTTTCTCCAGCGTTGACGTCTGTCTCTCTCGTGTAGCCAAGTTGAAGGATAATCTGAAGACAAAAAAGGTGTGGGTCTTGTCCAAAGAATGGGGGTCCACCCCAAATTCACTACTTACTCATCAGATGTATCATTAAAATTTGCTGACCATTTTGGGGGTATATATATACCATTATATACCTATTTTAGGATAAAACCAAATGGTGGATGGGTGAGATTCGTTTGTCCATAGTGACACCGATGAATATAATATAATATAAGCACGGTTATGATCAGCATGATTATTCCATTAATATTCCATTGTCATCCCATCATTCCAAACTGTTCATGGTCAAAATCCCCAATCAATGATCACAAACACACATTTTTAGATGATAAAACCGTCGTTTTTGATGATCAAAACACATTTCTGAAGAATTCCCACGGGAAGAAAGTCCCGTGACCAACGGCCGTTGGTTGAGGCTTCACTCCTACTGCGGCAGCGTGGACATGGCCTGGACCCCACTGGCCTCTCTGGGGCTATCCGGATGGAAAATCCCTGAGAAACCCTGTGCGGCACATGATGTAGAAATGGCAGGTTTTCCACATCGATATATTATCTATATATGATATAAGGTATAATGATAATAATAATAAATAAATAAATAAAAATAAATAAATAAATAAAAATAAAAAAATAAATAAATACATAATAATAAATAATAATAATAATAAATAATAAATAATAATAATAATAATGATAGTAATAATAAATATATATATATATATTAATATTGTTTCTCCAGGATTCTGAGGGATTTATCCCTTCCGCCGATCTGGAAGGTCATGAACAGATCCAACACGTTCCGCTGGTTTCGTTAGGGGTGTATCATGGTGTATCAAATATATATTAGAGTTATGTTTCGATCTACCTGGAGAAATGAAGGGAGTATCCAAAATCAATCACAAAAATCAATCACAAAAATCAATCTCAATCACATCACGCTCATAACTAGTGATGCAAACTGTCTAATGAGACTGAAAACTGATCAGATTCTCGGAAGGGCCATGGTCATCTACGATGAGATGGTTCATCCCTGGGAGATCTGTTGTCACTTTATGTCACTTTTTCGGGTGAAAAACACGAGGTTGTCACCGTATCACAGATCTATTCCCCAGCCCGGTGTGGCGTTGTTTTCTTTCACCCGAACGATCGGAGCAGCAGTCTCGGGGTCAAAGCTGTTCGGTAGTTTCGCACATATTCTGTGTAATATTCCAGCGCACCTCGAATGATGATACAGCATGGGTATGGCTCCAAGTTGTTGACCCCATAAATGATTAGTGTAAGTCTTAAAGACAACCAGCCGTTTTACTAAAATAATCATTGAGTTCTCCCATTTCGAACTTGGGACAAATCACCGTGGTCGTTAACCACTTACTTTCATGAATATAGGTTATGCATGGTTATGCCGCAACGACCGGAAGTTTGGTTCTTGAACCCAGCAATTGCTCAAAAAATGCCCATGCAACAAACACCTTGCTGGCAACTTGCAGAATGTCGCAGAATGTCGCAGAACATTTCGTCATTTTCGTCCAAGGTCCAAGCTTTTGCAAAACTGAATTGCTATTTCTCCTTCTCCGCGTCCCGGGACCCAGGGGACCCAGGGGAGCCAGTGGGACCCAGTGACGACGCTTGGGACATTTTGGTTTTTGTTGAATCGTATTGGGTTAGTGAATGGTTTTATGATGTTGTATGTGTAGAGGTAACTTGAGTAATATCATAGCCGGGTATCAAAACTTGGACATGCTGGAGTCATGTTATGATCTCGCCGTCAGTGAATTTCTCAATGCCCTAAGTGGCTTGGAAATCATTCAGCAACATACTTTGGTCATCTTTGGTCCATTCAACTTCCATTTTTACGGGAGAGTGATGCAGACGAGCTCCAGATGTCCAAGTGGGCTAGCCATTCTTAGGAGATTCAGGCAATTGTTCAAGGGTTTCGGACGATGTCAACCACCTGTTTTGCTTGCCAACCCTGGTTCAGTATGCTGTCCGTGGGGCTTTTGTTGCTGTTTTGATGGAGACGCATACATGATCATACATGTTTTTGAGTAGATAAGGTTACCAGGTTAACCATCCTTAAGGAGGTTGCCCATTTGACCCATATCCATTTGGCTTGGAACCCACTGCATCCTGGAATTTCACCTCAAGTAGAGAATTTTAGTGACACCTGACATGAAATTCATCCTGAATTTGATTCTTTTGAATCCATCAGGAGGATGAGGATCTGTATATGATATATATATATATATATTGTCAATTTGTGGTATGTGATACTCCATGTAAAGGCCAGGTTGTCACATGTAGTGTCTGCTGCCATTTCGGCTATCAGGGCCCTTGAGCTACATCGCTATCGCTACTAGCAAAAAGAGCCGCGTTGGACTGCACGATACCGTTGCCAATTCACATTGGTAGCGGAGCAGGTGACGACCTGTCTCCGGGTACGTGTCAGATCCAGGGATTGAAAATAGTAGAAGTTTGAATCGGATTTGTTCTTGGAACTTTTTCTGCCGAAATCGTCTGATCCCTGTGGGACAGACCTGCAATTGGCTGACCTTGGGTATAGGCAGTCCATCGCAAAGGAATCGTAGAAATGTCAGTAGCTGGACTTAGGTTTGGTTCTGACCGATCCACTGTGCCCCTAGAGACCAAGAGTGGATCATACATATACCATGGGGATGCAGCACATTATCATGATTGGGAATTCCGGACCCTTTTGCGAATAAAGCTGTTTGATTCAAAGAAAGATGTAGAATCCTCCCCAACCGGAAGGAGTGCCGAGCCCGTTGGGCCGGACTCTGAAGCTGATGCTGGGATTTCACCCCATCCGCGCCCAGGCCGACCAGATGACGAAGCCGGAGCCTCTGCCAGTCGAAGCCCTAAAGGGGATGACACGGGTCGAGATCGTAGTGTCTTAGTCAACAAGGTCGTAGAAGGTCTTCGAGGTGATGCCTTTCTCATTGCCAGAGATCTCGGTTTGGAGACTCTGTCCCAAGAGGAAGGTCTTGAACGATTGGTTGAACGAATCAAGGCCCATGTTTTTCCCAGAGCTCAAGAAGAAGCCAAAGAACTCTTCAGAGCAGGGCAGAAAGCAGGTGGAGTTTTGTCCCGACAACCCCAAGAACCCATGCTGAGTTATACTCAACGCAGACGCAGATGGTGGAGAGTGTTGACCGAGCTTGATCCTTCCATGGCGCTTTCAGATGGACTCCGTATGGAGCTCATGCTTGAATTGTCAGGTCTGAGCCGGCAAGAGGTACTGGTCGTAAAAGCATGTGCCACCACCAAGGACTTTGAAGGAGTTGCTAAGGTGTTGGTTGATCAGTATTCAGGAATCCATTTGAGGGAAGGGTCCAAGTCTTGGGTTGGACGTTCATCTACCCCACAACAGTATGGGAAGTCTGGTAAGGGATATGGAAGTTCCAAAGGACCCCAAAGTGGTAAAGGTTCCTACAAGACAGCCTACAATGCCTATCCCGATGAGGAAGGCTATGGTTATGGTGACTATGATGAATACCAAGAGGAATACTATGAAGAGGATGCACCATACGTAGGTCTGCTTGGTGGGATCGAGGAACATCCAGAACAATCAAGTCCAAATGTTGACAATCCCTATGAAGCCTTTGACTTTCACGACGAAGTTGATGAGTATGAAGCCACTGCCCTGAATGCACTAGTGGATGTAGGAGATGAATCAACTGAAGATGACAAGAGCCTTGGGGAAGCTCTCCAACTCCAACTAGCTGCATTCGCAGCCTTCGGACGTGTGAAAGGAAAGGGTAAAGGTAAACCCAAAGGAAAAGGGAAAATCATCAGGTCCAACTTGTCCATCGAACAGCGCAGGAAGCGCCTTTCCGAGATTAAGGCCAAGTCAAAATGCCTTCGCTGCGGCGCCTACGGGCACTGGGCAGGTGACCCCATTTGTAAATTCCCAGGTGCAAAGGGGAATGCTAATGCCAAGGATTCAAAACCCCCATCGAATCCTCCTAGGCCAACAGCGCACTTTGCAGACTTCTCGGAATCTTCATCAGATGAGGGAGTTTTCTTGAGTGCATCATCACCCAAAACACCAGTTGCAAACATGGCCATCAAGAGTGCAGCTGCCCTTTCAAAGGCACCCAGTTTGGGACCTCCCACAACTCCGGTAGGACGAAATGACCCGTCAAAACCTATTGGGAGTAACACGAAGTTCAAGTTTGGCCAGTTTAAGGGGAAGACGTTTTGGGAGATCTTGCATGATCATCCTGACTACTTTGCATGGACACAGAAGAACGCCAAGAGTCCAGGAGCCTCAGAGTATGCCGAGTGGGTGAACCAAAACTTTGAGTATCGGGGGAACATAGTGTATCGCAGAAGTAGTTTGGAGCCACCACCACCTCTTCCAAAGCAACACACACGTTTGAGGAAGCCACCGAATCCACCAAAGGAGAAGTGTGCCAATTGCACCCAATTCACTCGTCAGGGGAGTACGGGTTACACCATCAAGGAGACATGTCTGGTTTGTGGCCATTCAACTACTACCAGGAGAGAACTACTCCCCCAATATCCTTATGACCAGTGTCCACATGAAGACAAGGATTTTCGTGGTTCTTCAAGGTCTGTTCACCGAACCTTTTGTAAGCAGTGTTGCACGTATCTGGATGAGACTCCGATGGAGCTCCAAAGGACCCGAAAAGCAGTCTCCACCAAAGTCTTGGAAGCACCCCTGGAAAGAGTTTCCATCATTGAACAACTGGTTGATGATTCCAAAGATGCGACCTTTAGCCCCGACATGCTGGACATGATCCTCAATGATTTTGCCACCTTAGTCGCTACCAGTTCTGAATCTGAGGCCATCACTTCGACCAAGCTGCATGAACTTCTCCACCAATCCATCGCCAATGCAGAAGGAGACAGCAGTTTTACCATGGTTGGTGATGTGGAAAACCCTGGGGAAGATTTTGCAGGTCTCGGAGTGTGTTTTCATGGGGACGAGCCAGATGTAGAGATGTCTGATGGCTTGGTGCATGTGTTCCAAGAGACCCGTGACATGTACGACATGAGTGATCCCAATATCTATGTCGTGTTGGATGAGGGGTGTAACTCAACTTGTCACTCCAAACATTGGGCTGAGGTAGTAACTGCCAAGCTGAAGAACTTGGGATACCAGTTTCCATTCAATGACACCAAGGGGAAAACCTTCTCTGGATTGGGGACCGGGGGAACCTCGACCGAGGGATCCCGTACATTGCCTTTCAGCCTGAATTTCATGGACAGCAAGTGTACACCCATTCATGGGGTACTTGAGACGCACCAACTTAGCTCCGGGACATCACCACTCTTGCTGTCACTGCATGCTCAAGCCCATCTTGGACTTGTCAAGGACTTGAAGAATGGAACAGTATCCATTGATGGTAATCAGTTGCCAGTTTTCAGATGTTCTCATACAGGTTTGATGATGTTAGCAATCACCCCAAATCAAATTGATCCGACAGGAAAAACGTCCAATCACATTTCACAACAGATCCCAAAGTGCCACAGAAAGTTTCGAACTGCCTTTGCCGCCCTATCCGACGAGCCTGGTTCGCCGTCGGCCAGTGAGATGTTGAGGTCTCCAAGTGGCTACAGCTCGTCAAGCGCAGATCACATCGAAGGTGCCGTGAACAACTGCCTGAGGGGACTGGACAGATCCCGATGCCTTGTGGTCACTTCAGGTGCTCGTTGGACAGGTCGACAGCCAAGCTTCCCTGGTGCTAAGGTTCTTCAGATTGACTGCAGGCATTTCCATGATCCTGACAGCGACAGATCGATCCGAGGTTGCACTGGACGACATCCTAGCATTATCCGAGGAGTTGCACTTCATGAGGCAATGAATGACCTCGTTGAGCAGGTGACAGATTTCTTGAGGGCTAACCCGAATGGGAAGCTCGTGATCCACTTGTACTGCACCAGTGGTCGTCATCGCAGTGTTGGATTGGCAGCTTTGATCTACTACTTCTTGGACGTGACTGATTGGAGGAAGCCTTTGCTGATCCATTATCACAGCCCGGAGTGGCGTGAGATGACTTGTGGAGGTCATTGCAGTCTTTGTGCAACAGCCGACACCAGAGAGCTTGGAAACTTGATGAACAGGCATCTTCCTGACGTGCGTGTTGTGGATGTGGATGAACCTGATAGGTCATCAGGAGTTGCTAGGCCGCCTGAGCCTGTTAGGCCACCGGCACCAGGGCCTACTACAACGGCGACGAGATCTATCCCCACGTTGACACCATCCAGGACTGTGCCAGTTCCAGTCCGTGCTCCTATGACACCATCCTTTGGAGGTACATCGACGAGAACGCCTTTGACACCCAGGTATGTTCCAGCATATCCACCTCCAAGCCGTAGTGCTGGAGACTCATCTCGTGGAGGAGCACATCACGAAGGAGACGAACGAGGCCGTGATTATGGAGGACAAGACCGAGACTTAGCAGTACAGGTTCTTGCTAATCAGGTCCAGGAGCTCTCAGGTCTTGTGAGACAGGTGCTTGAAGGAGAACGAGCTGATCGTGGAAGGACCAGAAGAAGATCCTCTTCGAGCGGCAGGCGTGGTCGGCGATCTC